AAATAGTGCAAACCAGAAACAGGCCTTTATAATGAATTGATAAGCCACCAATGACAAGTTTTAGTGTTTATCACTGAACCAACCATACAGTTTATTTTTTTGATGAATGATAATTAGTGCTGTATTAAGAGTAGTCCTGCTCAAAGACAAATACTGGCTCTGATATGATAGTCCTCCTCTTATTCTTTGTCCTTTTTCAGAGGATGAGTAATTACCTTTTTTTAAAAAGACTTACTGCCTTATCTTAGTTATATTTCACAGTAACCTCATCAAATAGGTAGGGGGTATGTTATAATCATCCCTATTTAAAAGATGAAAACTTTATGACTTAGAGAAATTAAGTGGCTTTCTCAAGATCTTATGGTTAGAGAAAATACATTTGAACAAATGTTTTCTAACTCTAAACCAGTGACACAGGTAGTGGAAAAAGCATGGATTTTGCAGTCTGAAAGAATTTAGCCCTGTCATGTTCAACCATTACCTACATTGTCAAATTTCTCAATTTTGCAGAGCCTCAGTTTCTTTATAAAATGAGAGCAGCAATTACTTAGTAGGTTTTCGGGGTGAGAATTACATAAAAAAGTCTATGTAAGGTACTTGGTAGATCATTAGTGCTTTTCACCTAGTGAGGGCTCAGATCAATATTATTCCCCTTTGGTTTTTCACTGCATCATGCTGCCTTACTGTATTAAAAAACCAAGGAAAATTACCTCAAGATAAAGAAATATATTCATAATTTACAATGATCAATGAATATACATAAATGGCCATTTAAATATACGTGATTAATCTTTTGAAACTAATTCTGTCAAATCCTTTTTCTAGGAAACCTATTTTAAAATGCTCTTTCGAAAATGTTTGTTCAGATGACGCCATGTCAAAGGAAAATGTGGGTATGTGAAGGCCTGTCCTGCTTCTGGTTCTTATACCTCTAATTCTACCGAATGTAGTTGCCGTTCTTTGAAGAAAAAAAATGTTGTACATATATACATATAAGAGAACTCTTAGTGAGTCATTTTGGTATTAATTCTCATACTAGGTATTTGGGTTGTCTTTGGGTTTCTATTCTCTTGCATTAAATTTGGCTCTGTCATGTATTTAATTTCTTTTAAAAAAAAGCACCAGCAGTTGTGGGAGGAAATACCTACATCAATACATTAAAATTCAGACCTCCCCATTCCAAAATTATTGGGGGCCTAGGAGTGCCAATGGGAGGGAGAGAAGAAAAGCAGCAGCTTGGGGCTTCCAGCTGAATTAATTGCCATTGGCATTAGAACACAGTAGGGTGAATGTGGGGAGAAAGTTTAAGCTTTCAAAACCACTTTACTCTTCCTTCATTTTTGTTAGTCTTGAAAAGTAGGCAAATGCTTATTTGCAAGATGGAACTTTGGCAGCCACGCAAAGAGGTTTCAAAGCCCATTAAACCCCAAGAAGTTACCCGCACCATACTCCCTCTCCTTTGTGGCCACCCCCAGGTCCTATGGCACTGCCTTTCAAATGGCTAAATCAGCCATTCATTTTTAGTCTTATCAAAAGAAAGGAAAGCAGTCAGAAGAAGGACAGAGTGGTTATTTTTTTAAAAATCCTTTTGTTCCTGTCCTAAACCGCCACAAAATTCTGTTGTTTCTATCTCTTCTTAAATGTATTCTGCTGCTGCTTTCCTGCTAACTCAGGTGCCTTTTCTTGGCCAAGTTGTCCCTTTGCCTCCCATGATTAGTTCAGATATTGCTGTGGAAAGGCAAAAGTCTGCTCATCCCTGGACTGAGTTCCCACTAGGAGACCTTGCAGCTGAGGGCTCCAATACTGGGATCCTTTCCCCCTCTGACTCAAATGGGCTACCTTGGAAGAAACCCCAGGACATCACAGCCATGACTCCATTGACTGGAAATCACTCTTCTGTGTAAATACATCTCCATGGATATCCACTGATACCCTTTTAGGAGTCTCACATTCTGAATGGCTCTCAAGTCTCAGTAGTTAATTGTTCAGACTGTGAACCTGATCTGTGTCTTACTCCTTCTTCACATTTTGAACAACTAAAAAACAGAAATATCTAGTTTACTGTGTTCTTTGCAAGAGCTGACTACTTCTGGAAAGAGTGGTTCTTCTTCAGTAAATTAACCCTCCTCAGTTTTTTTACCCCTACTCATATTTCCATGGATCCCTTGATCTAAGTCTCTGATATCACTCCTTTTCTTCTTAGCCTGAGGTAGGATCAGTCCTTGATCAAGTGAAAATTCTACCGTCTTCTTCTTGAATGTCTGCCCCACTTTTTGGAGCCACTTTCCTTACACTCCCAAGTGCTAAAGTCTCCCAGCAGCCTACTACCCAGATTTGCTGTTCCTTTCTAGTTTTTAAGCTCTACCCATTTCTTTTCTCTGTCCTTTAGTTAGAGATCAGGAGGAGAGCTAACTAAGTGCTACTTTACCTGTCCAAGTATCAGTTGCTTCATCTGTAATAAAGACATGCAGTAGAAGCCCTCTTATCCAACAAGGAGAGAATTTCTGGAAATTAATAGAAAAAATTGAATAGAAATTAATAGAAAATTAATAGAAATCATTAAATATTTTAAACTGTAGTCCATGGCTATATAGATTTAATCTAAGAAATAACTACTTGTGGAGCATATCTATGTTTTGGGGAAAATTAGTACCAGGAATATTATGTACTATATTTGTATTGTCCCTATAACTCTTTTTTTTTTTTTCAGTGTTTAGGGACAAGAAAATTCATCTATGATGATGAACTAATAATACCAACACCTGTATCAATTACTCTGTGTCTTCACTGTTCTAAACACTGTGAATATATTAGTTTATTTAGCCCTCACAAGAGCTATATAGGATAAACAGTTAGATATTATTATATCCCCCATTTTATCAATGGGGAAACTAAGGCACTTAAGAGGTTATATGGTATTTCTCAGTCACTATCTTCCTTTTTTTAATGTTTATTTATTTTTAGAGAGAGAGAGACAGAGTATGAGTGAGGGAGGGACAGAGAGAGAGGGAGACAGAATCCGAAGTAGGCTCCAGGCTCTGAGCTGTCAGCACAGAGCCCAGTGCAGGGCTTGAATCCAGGAGCCGTAAGATAATGACCTGAGCGGAAGTCGGAGGCTTAACCGACTGAGCCACCCAGGTGCTCTTGTCACATATCTTCTTAAAATTAATCAAAGTGTGCAGCTGTTTCCTTGGTTGCTTTGAGTATCAGGAAACTTAAAGCGAAATACAGGGGGGTTGGGCACAGTACTGGTAGTTGACCTAGGCACTTTTAAAATCTCATTATTGCCCTTTGTATCCCCCTTAATGAATTGGTTTTGATTTCTTTTGGTCTTTTAGTTTTAGTCATTTGTTTTGTTGTATCATTGTTTTTTGTTAGAAAATACCTCCTTTATTCTTGGGTAGTAAACAGTCTATAAAAGTTTAAAAAAAAGATTGGCAGATTACCCCAGACCAACTGATAATCTATGACACTCATTATCAAATTAGCAAAGGATGTGTTCATCAGCCACCTGAGATAGATAAGCATGGAAAAAGATGGTTAATCTAGGAAAGGTCTGGATCATGGGGTGAGCCCCAGGGGAGCATGAAGACCTTAGGGGCTGGGGCTGGGAGGTAGAAGGGGGACAGGGAGACAGGTGATTTTTTGCTGCTCAGGACAAACTTTGCCCACCTACTCTTGGTTTGGAGTCAGCTTTAGCCTCTAGGGTAAAAGGTGGGGTTGGCCCACATGCCCCTTTCCTAGAAAGCTCCTTGCCTCCTATTTCTGTTTGTGTCTCCAGGAATGGTGCTCTCTTCTTCATTACATTCTAACTTGTACTGTACTCATCTCTACATTTAAATTGTAAGCACACAAGAGGAATGTTTGTGGTTATTTAATAACAAAACAAAACCAAGTACTTTTTCCTCCTCCTCAGCCTCCTTCTGTAAGAATGCTTTCAAAATTTCAATATTGAAATGACCCTGCAAATTTATTTCAGATGATATTTTTCAATACCAGCTTTGGGGTATATAAGGAAATAAACAGCTTCTTTAAACATTTAGTAGAAAAATACAGATTGGAGAAAACCCCATAAGTATACCTTGAAGGCTTTTAAAATAGTGACTGATTTATTTAAGAGACAAACAGTAAGCTATTTCTTATCAGGAATGGAAAAACTACACAGATTATTTTATAAAAATTCATTTTTAAAATCCAGGTATGGACTTCAGTATAAGAGATATATTTTTCTTACCTTTTTAAAAAAAACTTTTTCTGAGTGATGGAATAACTGTAATGCTACCACTTTACTCTAAACAGCAAATTGAAACAAGTCAGGGAAACCACAGGATAATCAGTATTGATAGAAGATGATTGGTCATGCAATCAGCAAAGGCATTCATTCTGCCTCTATCTTTGGAGGATATCATTGGCCAATTTTGATAACCTAGTTTGTACATTACAGTAACTGCTATTTCTTGAGAATTATTTTTGAATTCTGTCAGTTTATAATATAGAAATACCTATTTAGAAAAGCAAACCTCCCATTGCTCTGGAAGCAGAATTTGACATCAATCAAGTTGGTGTTATGAACCCTAGTTGATTTATGAAGTCATCCATTACTTTGTCTACCCTTTGAGCAGAAGGCAGTGTACATATTTTTCCAGATCACTTGAAAACAGAGAGCCTACAATGCCATTTGGCAATGACATTCATTATCATAAATTGATTGTATTTTAGCCTAGCCTTAGAAATATAAAGATGTTTGTGTCCATTTTTCCTTTACAGTATAGCTCAAAATTCATCTTCTCAACAGTGCATTAAATGTCAGTATCAATTTCCATAGACTCAGAATATAAAGTAGGAAAACACAACATCTGTAAGTGGGACTGGAGAATCAGTCTGAAGATAACCACAAGTAGTTGTCTGTTCAGTAACAGGTTACTAGTAAGAAATCTATCATAAAGAGAAGTCAATTCGTTAAACAAAATAGCTTCAATAAAAATGTACATTCCTCTAGAAAATCCTGATTCGGTAAACATGGGTTGCATTCATGTATTTTTTTAGTAAATTCTCCCAGTGATTCTTATGCCCATCAAATTTTGAATAGCACTGTTTTAGAATGCAATGATTAAAACTCTGTGTTCTTACGCTTTACCAATTACCACAGAACACATATCTATGTGGACACAACTAACATGTCAGCTACAGTTTTTGTTTTGTTTTTAAACATAGGAACTGATTCTAAGGTGTGCAAATGGCATATCAGAAAGCTACTTTCAAACTGTTTGGAAAGAAGTCTTCCATAGAGAAAACCTGAGATTGGCTAGGAAGAGATGATGGCCCGGAAGGCTCGTTGGTCAATGCCTGCTCTTGAGTCCCTTGCCCTTTGTAGGCACATAATTGATATTTGTTGACTGAGTAAAAAAGTACTTGGGACAAGTGATAAGTACTGACAGAAAAATTATTTTTGTAGACAAAACTGTGATGTGAAAAATGTTAACTAAAAGTTGTTTTTTAATACTGTAGTGACAACCAACAAAGGGAAAATTTTCTATTTCATAACCTCCCATGACTTTGACACTATTATTTAATAACGTTCTAGCAGAATTTTAAACTTTCTTTCTTACGAGTACTAGATAAGAGGAAATTACCAACAAAGAAGATTCTAATAAAACATGGATTCTTTTGAACTGGAGGAAACAGTGCATAAGACTTTTCACATTAATAATCTCTGGTTTTTACCTTTAAACATGCTTAGTTTACAAGGATACTTCTGTGTGTGTGTGTGTTCACACACACACACATAAAGGGATGCATATACATATGCAATCTTCCTAAACATGATTAGTTAGAAGAATTCTAAATATGTTCAACAATTAGATTAAAACTGAATGTTAGTGCTGAGAATGCCCTGCTTGCATATTCACTGATAATAGGTTAGCTCCAAAGCATATGTCCTGTGTGGGTCTGTTTTCGTGTTCCATGAACTTTTAGATGTTCTACGTAGTGGGATTTTTGGTGTCCTGCCAAAGAATGGTGGATAATAGAGGGTACTATGTCCAGTTTTTGTCACCCGAGTGGAAAATAATGGGGTGTGTATTCATGGCCTTTCGCTTTGAATTGTGTTGCCTTTGGAACGACTTCTCAGATGCTCCATCTGTCTGTTGTGCAGGACAGCAGGCCACATGTGGCTTCCTTTCCTTGATTTTTACTTCAACAAGTCTATATGAAACAGAAATGTTTATTTTATTTAAGTCAGGAATCCAACTGCATGTTATTAATCAGTAGTTGAGTCTATAGAGTTATTCAATAGGAGTTCATTTCTTTTGTGGGGATATTATTTTATGTCCGCAAATTCAGTGAATTCATGTCATAGTAGTACACACACACACACAAATTTTGTAAGTGTGGTATTTAAATATATATATATATATACACACATATATATAATACATATATTAGGCAATTAAGATGTGTTGGTATTCGGATTAGGAGTAGACTAGCCTGTGTTTAGCTTGACCACTTAATTACATCGTCTCTCCTTTTAAACAGTAGTTTTAATAGTTTATTGTAGGCATGGCAAACTGGCCCACAGGCCACTAGTTTTTGTAAATAAGGTTTTATTGGAACATAGTCACTCTCATTTATTTAGGTACATGTGTATGGTCTGCACTATAGCAGCAGAATGAAGTTGTTGTGACAGAGACCACAAAGCCTGCAATATTTACTCTGTGTCCATTCATGGGAAAAGTTTGCTGACCTCTGGTTTATAAAAAACAATTTAGTTTGGCCCTGATTTAAAAAAAAAAAAAAGCAAAACAAGACACTTCTAGTGAGCTTTTTATGATCTACACATAGCAAGAATATCACGTACATTTTGACAGGAATAATTGGAAAATATTCACCTGGAAATCCTTAATTATTTTGCATTAAGCAGAGGCCATATGTGAGAACTATACAAAATATTTGTTTTTTGTCTTGTAACATTTAGATTTTCTCTTTTGAGTTGGTTAAGATTATGGATTAGATTGAATTAATTAAAATGTAGCATTTTTTCTATTATATTAATGATGATTTTTAGTTGTCTCTGAGACAGAAGTTTTACTAAAAGAGCTGGAGCAAATGCTACAGCAGGCACTAGAGCCCACAGGAGCGCCTGATGAGTCTGAAGAGGAGCGTGGAGAAGAAGTGAATACAGGAGAAAAGGTAGCACCGGTAATCATTATCAGGCCTAAATAGCAAGTCCAGATTCTGTCAATGGCAGAAATTGTTCCTGGCTGTACGTTTTAGTTATATGAAAAACATTTTTCCCTTCTGAAATTTGAACCCTTGATTATCCTGAAGTGAATAAACTAGTAACCTGTTGAAAGGTCAGAATACAACTATCAGTTTTTGAAAAAAAAAATCTGTGAGTGTGGAGGAGCCCTTTGTTTTTTGGATCTTTGAGGTTGGGATGAAGAAAGAGTGGAAGGAGCTCACAGTAGTCGGTCGGGTGCCACCGTAGAGAGAACTGCCTACCGCTGCCAATTTCACAGTCAGGAGAGGAGGCTGGATAAGAGCAGCTTGCTAGGAAAGCTGCCCTGCCTGGTTCATGCACAGAGACAACTTCTGTAGGGACAAACCTCATTATTAACACACTGGAGGTAGAATTTTTCATTGGAATACTTTTCACCATTCATAACTAGATTTGTCTTTTTTTTTTTTTCCTTTTGGCTAGCTATGTTGGACTGAGAAAGGCCATGCATGCTTACTTTATTCAGTTCTTATATGTGATAACATAAATTACCAAACTTCCCAGCACATCAGCTCCATGTTTGTGCAAATAAAATGAGGGTACAAGCCTAGGTCATTAATACAGAGCAGCAGTGTGGTAGGTATGAGAAAAATAAGTCATAAGGCAGACACTTCTTCAAGGCAGTACAGCTGTTCTCCAGATAGGAAGAAAAATGGCAGCAAGAAGTCATGTATCCTTAAGGTTTCATTCATTCTCTCATTCATTCATTTAGATATATGCTGTGCCTGGAGTCCAGAGAACACTGGACTTGGAAGTTGGGAGTTGGTTGGGAGTTCTTACTCTGGAATATAATACCAATGTCCTAAGCCCAGTCCTGCCAGGGAGGACTTGTGTAATTTGGCACAGTTGCTTATCACTTGCCCAAGAGGATTTCTTTGTGGGTTAAATAAGGCAAACTGGGAAAAGTATTTTGCATAGTAACTGACACCCAAGGTTAGCTGTTCTTACAGATGAGAATTGGCAATGGCAGTCCCTGGAGAGAGTAAGTGCTGAGACTTCCTCACTTCCTCTCTTTTCCCACATTCTCCTGTTGAGCAACTGCCCATTCCCGAGTCTGTCTCTTCTCAGATGCTGGAAAAGGTGGATTTATACGTGGACAAGGTTGTTTACCCACTTTGGCAGACTGCCCAATTGCATGATTTCATTCAGAACTTCAACAAGAATAAAGATGATTCGTAAACACCTCCTTTACCGAGTTGGAAATCAAAATATACAAGATTTACAGTTAAAGAGAGCAATACACCAAAAGGAAATAAAATTAATGCTAAAAACTCTTACCACATTGAAAACCATAGTTTTCTTAAGTAGCACCAGCAATATCAACTTGTGCCTGAATTTGTACCGTTGTGAATGCCATTTTTCCAATTAGAGTTCCTTTTTGAAAAAAAAAAAATTTTTTTTCTTTCTATAGATCTTACTTTTTGTCAAACAGGATCTGTAGATTAGCAACATATATGTTATAGACATATAATTAATATACAATTAGTCTTTTCCAGCAAATGTGTGCTTTGTTTGAGCACCATATGGTTTTGTGCAACACGTTTTCAGTGTTTGCAGTTTCTCTTCTCAAAAATACAGCCAGGTTGATTTTTTATAAAGATGTCCTGGAGCTTTTACAGCCACAGAATTGGCTTCTATTTTACCATTATAACTAGTAACTTGATAGAACAGAAAATTACTTTGGATTTTTATTCCTTAAGGTAAAATACATAGTTTTAATATATCACCAGGCAGGAGCTTGCTTTTTGTTTTAGATTCTTGTAATATTTTATGCTTTCAAAAGCCACTTAAGAATTATAAAAATTAACCATCTTAACTTGCTGGCAGGCAGGTGAGTGCCTCCTGCAGACTGGTTCATAAGCCGTTCTCCACACTGAGCTTTGTAAGTCTGGCATTCACACCAGGTTCTGTATATTTAGGGCCTTGTTCACTTTTAAATGAGAAGAATAGCAATGAAACCAACTATCAAAGCTGGGACATTTTCAGTTTAAAAGAAAAGAAATGATCACCACAAGGGTTTCTTTTTTTTTCTTCTTTCTTTCTTTCTTTTTTTCTTTCTTTCTTTCTTCTTTCATTCATTCATTCATTCATTCATTCATTCAAGTTAATAGGGAAAATTAATATGGCTTCCAAAGTTAACACTGCTTAACGCTGGAGCTGTGTTTTATTTGTAGGAGAAAGTGGCCTCTTATAAGCTAACACACCAAAAAGAGCCACCTGATAATTTTAAGGTGCTAAGCATGTTTATTCTCTGAGCAGATTTGGTTAAGCTATTTTCAAAGTTGTAAATTTGATGGTGTTTTCATTCTTCATTTCATGTATCAGGTTTGAGGTTGATAACTCTCAAGCATTTATACCAATGAGCGAGAGTGACAACATAAAAAAGAAAGCATACACATATGGATAATCAAAATTCGTTTCTATTTGTCATTGAAATGTTTTATGAGAATATTTTCCTCAGTAGAGTCACCTTCCTAATTATGCTCTTCCTTAGCTAATATTAACACTGGTTTTCATGCCCCAACTTTGTAAGCAAGAAGAGGAAATTAATATCAGATTTTTATAAAATCTTCCAGAATAATTCACAAATTAGATAAGCCATATACAAATAAAACAGAGTTTGTTGAATAATTATTTGTATTAAAAGGTACAGTTTTTGATGTTACATGAAAATACTTGTATAAATTACATGTATTTTTTTTTCTTAATTTCATGGAAGTTATCTCTACCTTTAATGAACCTTGAGGTTATAAATCTTGTATGTGTTTATGTATATCTGCACTGTTTTTACTTGTGTCTCTTCCCACCGAGCTAGATCAAGCTATCACTATTTGTAAGTCATGCAGAGGCTTAGGAGAAGATAGGCATAGAAGGTGTGACTCAAACAGTTTTAAGCTGTATTCCCTATAATAATAATTATAAAAATAAATAAATATAGAAAAGTCATAGAATGAAACTGATCATGTTTTTCCAACACGTAATATTAAACCTAAAAATGTATAATATTGGGGGAAAGAAATACGACCTGAATAATAAGTTATTCTTATATGAACACATTTCTTGTACATTATACTCTACATGGGGATCATTATTTGACCACCAGCATAACAGAACACTTTGGGTAACTGCTGTGGCTTGTGGAGTTACTGACTACTTTACATTTGGTTCAAATAATTAAGCCGGTGTTACAGTAAATTTGATATCGTTCTGATGAATTGTATGGTTATTTTTACAGTTATCTGAATGCAGCCCTGAAGTTCCTGCAGGCGGTCCATTTGAAAACCACTATGAAGAAGACTATCTTGTAATTGATGGGATAAAATTAAAAGCTGGAGAATGTATTGAAAACATAACTAACAAGTTTAAAGAAATAGATGCTCTAATGTCTGAATTTTAAGGTATTATTGATATTTTCAAAAGTTAATTATAAAAAGTTACGTGTTTATATTTTTCCAAAGTCAAAAACTTGAAAACATGTAGGGAGATAGGTATATGTTATACCAAAGCTGCTATTTGTAACAACTTCCTGTTTTATGCTTTTAGAATATCCATTGTTTTGAGAGCCAATCAAATGGTCTTCAAGTTAGTGTTAAGATTTAAGATTTAAAAAAACAATTTAGCATTTAAGAAACCCTGATATTTGTATTTATAGATTTTTTTTTCTTGTTTGCCTTAATTTTAAAATGGTTTATGAAACTTACTGTGCAAATACGTGCTTTACAATGATTATTTAGGCCCTTTATTCAAATGTGGCTATTTAGATGGCTGTCAAGGCTATTATAATTCTTCCATATAATTCAAGCATAGTAGAGATTGAGTATGTGTATTGGTAGTGGAATTAAGCTACTATAAAATAAAAGGAAATAATAAAAAAATTATTGTATATTAGAGTTGGGGTTCTTCTCAAAGGTGTCAGTTGCCTTATACTGGAAATAATCATTTCAACCATGATTCCAAAACCTGATTAAGTGGAGGTGGGAGGCTGTGGAAGATCAGAATCCTGGATGCTTCCCTATTAAATCAGTATCTCTGTAGGTGAGGATGGGAAACATAGTGAAAAATATAAGATTAAGTTAAGCATACTCACAATAAAAAAATTCTCAACATTATAGGACAGCAAAAAAGTACATCCTACAATACCACTCCCTTAACGCCTCCCTGAAACCCCATTCCATAGGGATTCCCATGAGCAGTTTCAGGGGGTGTCCTTCCACATAAGTGTTCTAACGCACATCCATCTCCAGTACCCACTCTCGCTCTCTCTCCATGTCTCTCTTGGGAGTATGGGATCAGGGAAAGGGCATTCCAAGCACATCGCAATAGAAAACAAAGCTTGAAGAGAGAAGAGAAAGCAATTCAGCATCTTGGACCTATTGCTAGTTGAATTAGCTGGAGTAACCACATGCTGGTGTGAAGGTAGCCACAGCAGATGAGTAGCACTGTGTACACAGGCTAAGGAACGTGTACCTGTAGGGGCCAAGTGAAGAGTTTTAGACCGTGGAGTCCCTTTTACATTTCAGAAAGATCACACCAGCAGCAACACAAGAGAATGGAGTGAGCAAGAGAACACTGGAGACGGGGCTCCTTGTTAGGAGGCTGCTTGGGAAATCCAGTTGCAGGATTATGCGAACCTGAATATGGTGGTGCTATATGGAGAGAGCAGAATGGTTTCCAGCTGCATTAACATCAATGAATGGATTATTAGGATTTTGAGAATGGAAATAGGCATGCGACAGTAGGGGGGAGGTGGGGTCGACTTCAGGGTTCTTGTATTCACAGTGCTGTTCACCGAAGGTCAGAATAGGTGCAGATTAGAAGCGTGGGGCAGATACCAAGTTTGGGGCTAAACTGTGTGAGTTCAGCAAAGGTTCAAAACTCTTCGTGCTTTGACAGAGCCTGCCTTTCAGAACCACGCCATGAGCCAGAGTGACTATGACTACTCTCTCACTGCATCATATTTACTTCTAAATGGTATCAAACAGTGGAAACTAAGGCTTCCTCTTTTTCTTCTAACAGAATTTACTCCATAGCCTTTCAGAAAAACTTTGCCTCTTTCTCTCGCCGCTATGATTTTATATTCACAGCCTACAAAATGTCTCAAGAAGTAATCGATCCCATTTTCCTGTTACTTCTTAGAATCAACAATAAAATGACTACAATTGTATTTGAAAGACTTTACCCACAATTCGAGTGTTTGATCTAAGCCCCCAGGTGGTAGACTAATTAGATCACTTGCAGCTAATTCCTGTTGGTGGAATAGCCAGTGCTCTTCCAAGTTAGAGCCCATGGGTAAGACACTGAAATTTCCAGACTGAATTCATCTCTGCCATGTTCTAAGCTGCAGAAGTCCGGAATTTCCACTGAAGTCTTTGTGCACTTGGGCAGTTCAAATTGGTCCTGAGGACAAACATTTGGGTTGGCTCTGTCTGCAGAGGAAACTTCAATCTCCTTCCAAGAAGAGGCTCTTAGGGAAAAGGCCTTTTCCAAGAAGAGGACAGAGGGGAGCCTCTGTCCATGTGAGAATATAGCCTTTCAAATTTCCAGATAGAATGTGCTCAGGAAAACGGATGAAGGAGCAGTCAACTAACATCTCTGTCCTCAAGGCTGAGAATCCTGCCTGGCTGGCAAACCCTACCTGCTGGTAAAGACCCCATGTTCAGGGCAGGCCGCTCAACATACACCAGGGCATAGCAGTGGGACTGTGGAAACACGATGCCTGCCTTCAGGTCCTGGTGCTGTGGACGACTCATTGGGAGACCTGAGGCAAGTTACTTAACTTCTCTGAGCCAGGGCTTTTTTCCATCCATAGAGTAGAAGTTGCTGTGAAAGGAAATGTATGAATAGACATAAAATGCATAGAGCAATCTTAACACACAGAAAACTATGCAAGTCATGACCATGATGTTGTCTCAAAAGCATTTCTCTTCTGACTGCCTCTGCCTGGTTATCCTAGGCCTAAAGCCTAAAGCCTAAATGTGCTTCTTTCAGCAGAACCTGAGGTGATACACCTGCTTCTGGGGGAGTGGGGCCAAAGACTTCTCTGACTATGCTGACTCCCAGGGCAGGCCTGGAGGTGGACAGTACCCTGCCTCTATAGCTAGGGCCTCCTGCTAGGCCCAGAGGAGGACATTATAAGGAAATTGTATCTGCTCATCAAGGGAGATTAAATTCTAAGCACACTAGTTATACCAAGTTTGATATGGGAGCTATAAAGCAATATGTTAGGACCTTCTGCCTGAGCCTTTGGGTTGGAATAAGACCTCCTCTTTGTCTAGTTTGAGGAGTGGCTGACTAATCCTCTTTGCAATGAATTGACCAGCTAGTCTGTAGCCTCCATGAACCTATGGAAGGGCTGGGTCCACCAGAAGCTGAGTCCCCACTTAGATCTACAGACTGTGGAAAGTTAAACACCAAAGCCAACTCTGTTGCCCTATATTCTAGGAAGTCCTTGTCCATTTGCCTCATGCAGAAGCTGAATTTATGCAGGTATTTCCAGTGGTAAGAAGCTTAGCTCTATCTTTAGTGGAGACAGGCTACGTATTTTGACTTGTTGCCACCAGTGGGATAAAGAGAGGAGTGCACCCTTGCACTTGCAAAAGTCTGTAGTGTCTACAGCCTTGAATTTCCTGGCTCTGCAGTGGAGGGTGATGAGTCACAGATAGTTAATATGTCCACTAATAGACCTAAGCACTATCATAAACTATCTAGAGGCTTTGTGGAAAAAAATTGGCAGTTAGCTCTTTTTGGAGGAAACTTCTATTCATGAAAACTGAAGTGAACTGTGTATTGCTTTTCATGGAACGAAACCATTCTATAACCTAATGCCTCTACCAAAGAGCTGGCATTCCATAACTCCACCACTTATTGGGGTTAAGAATTGGTATAGTTCTGTTCCAGATACTTCCAGACCAGTAGAATTTGCATCTGTGGACATTCCAAGGGACAAAGGTAAGATTTTGAAAATCCAAAATAGAAATATCCAAATCCTGCTCTATTATTTCTTCCTCTGTATGGTTCCAAGAAGAGGTCTAAACATAGTGCAATTAAAAAATTCTAAGTTCTTTTTTAGGGCCGAGCCAACTCTTGCTGTCACTTAGTAGAATTCTGAAAGAGTTGTTTAGTAAAGACAAATTTGACGTTAAGGTCCAAGTGGGATATTCTATGTACGCAAATCTAAATATTAGGATTTTCCCACCCACTGAGTGGTTGCATGGTATAGGCATGCAGAGTAGTGAGCAGCAAATGAAAGGGTAGGGGAGAGAGGAGAAACTTGTTTCCAAGAAAAATTCTGAAAGAATGAGTTGTTTTCTTTTAAATGCATATAGGAAAATACTATGAGAAAGGAGATATGCTCAGAACCAAACAAAATAAAACGCAGTTTGCAAGCAGCCCAGAAGTTGCTGGGTTAAAAAATAAAACTTTTTAATCTTCAGCCTTTCCAACCAGAAAAAGATTCTCAAATTAAAATGTAGCCTGGGGACAGTGATCAAGTCCAGGGGTTGGTTGTTGAATCACAGAAAGAGAGACAAAGACCAAATCTAGGGGGCTTGCAGGAAAACATGGCCTCAGGGTAAGGACCCAATCAGGGGTGTGGCTAATAACATTACAAACTATTACAAAATGACTTTTAAACCTCCTGCAAAGCTGAAAGGTATAGTAGTGCAGCCACCTGACATGCCCAAAGTGCTAGTAATTAAATCTGGAGAGAAAAGCCTGTCTTGAAAATAACTGTGGTTTTGACACATAGAATGGACTAGAATCAAATACATAGAAAACCCACTAAGTTGTAGAATAACTGACACCACCTTAAGTACTAATAGCCTGAACTAAATGAGACTGAAACTGTTTGAGAGGGGAAAAAAGACCCCTGAGCCCCGTTTTCTATGTAGGAAATGGGCTAGGAAAACTTAGCCACCCAAAAGAAGTAGACGTTTCAGTGTCCTCTTCAGAAGCAAATGAGGAAGATGATGGAAAAGGAAGTCTCAGAGGACAGAGCTAGGAGCTGTAGAGAACAATGGACCAAAGATCCTCCTCCTACACTACCAGACTCCACCCCACCCCCAGCTCACCTTCCCTTCCCCTGGGAGCAGGACCAAGGTCTGATGAAGAAACATATCCTCCTCCTTTGGCAGGGAAACTTGGCTAATTTGCCTAGAAGGATTTCAGAATCACTAAGGAACAAGTTTCTTCATTTTGAATGAGGTGTTTACTGTGATTTTCCTGTCTCTGTTATACCAATGCATATTGTGTGGGTGTGGAAAGGGGATGGGGCCTGTGATTTGTCTTCTCAGTTTATAGGTCCAATTCATATCTGGGCCAGATGTAAATCATGAAGTCCTAAATGTTGAGCCTGATACATGATTGGGTGAGACTTGTGGTGTCCTTTGATGGGGATGG